ACGCAAATATGCAGCCGCTCGGCATCAACGCCCAAATTCCGAGAGGCCACATATTTACGTGCAATCGTCGTCAAGGGGTTAAACTTCATTATAGGCATTTGTGGTGCGGTTTTAATGCCTCAAAAACATGCATAGGGTGTTTGGGGAGCGTTTGAGGAGCTTTAAAAACGCTTCCAAAACACCTGTCTAACGCTGGTCAAACGCTATAGGGGCGTTTGGCAAGAGTTAGAAATTAGTCAAGTGTGAATGAGCCCTAAACAATAAAAGGCTTCAATTCATGCCATTCACTGTGTAAAATTGTGCTGCCAGCTGTGCTTGGTCACATTGATCACATGGTATAGACAGGGCTAATCACAGCCCATTTGTACCATGTGATTAGCTGTGGGCAATCACAGCTAATCACAACAATATATACAGAATAAATCTATTTCATACAGTAAAAATGGTTGCTTATACCTGTGAAATTCACTGCTGTAAGCAATCATAATGTCAAAATAATAAACAAAAAATCCTGATGACTTCCCCAGAGTAGTTTAGTGTTACCATGGTAATATTATTTTGCTCTGGTCACAAAAAAAAAATGTCCCTGATCACCACTACACCAGTTATATGATAACGCTGCACTGCACTGGGGACAGTGTTTACAAAAAAAAGAAAAAATGTGAAAAATGTTTTTTTTATTTCCTAATTTTCAAAAAAATGAAGACAAAAAACAAAAACTTGAAAAAACTCGCAATGACTCTTAATAAATACCGAAATACCATGGACTGTCTACTTTCCAAAAAGAGGTAATTTTGGGGGGTATCTGTACTGTCCTGACATTTTGGGGGATATCTGTACTGTTCTGACATTTGGGGGATATCTGTACTGTTCTGACATTTGGGGGATATCTGTACTGTCCTGACATTTGGGGGATATCTGTACTGTCCTGACATTTGGGGGATATCTGTACTGTTCTGACATTTGGAGGATATCTGTACTGTTCTGACATTTGGGGGATATCTGTACTGTCCTGACATTTGGGGGATATCTGTACTGTCCTGACATTTGGGGGATATCTGTACTGTTCTGACATTTGGGGGGATATCTGTACTGTCCTGACATTTGGGGGGTATCTGTACTGTCCTGACATTTGGGGGGTATCTGTACTGTCCTGACATTTGGGGGATACCTGTACTGTTCTGACATTTGGGGGGATATCTGTACTGTCCTGCCATTTGGGGGATATCTGTACTGTCCTGACATTTGCGGGGATATCTGTACTGTTTTGACATTTGGGGGGATATCTGTACTGTCCTGACATTTGGGGGTATCTGTACTGTCCAAACATATGGGGGGAGGGGTATCTGTACTGTCCTGACATTTGGAGGATATCTGTACTGTTCTGACATTTTGGGGGTATCTGTACTGTCCTGACATTTGGGGGATATCTGTACTGTCCTGACATTTTGGGGGATATCTGTCCTGTTCTGACATTTGGGGGATATCTGTACTCTCCTGACATTTGGGGGATATCTGTACTGTTCTGACATTTGGGGGATATCTGTACTGTTCTGACATTTGGGGGATATCTGTACCGTCCTGACATTTGGGGGATATCTGTACTGTTCTGACATTTTTGGGCCTCAAGAAATTAGATTGACCGTCAGTAATTCAGGATTGCTCAATTTTCAGATATATCCCATAGTTTGTGAACTCTATAACTTTCCTACAGACTAAAATAAATACTAATTTGGGCTATTTTCACCCAAGAAATGTAGCAGAATACGTTTGGCTAAATTGATGAAGAACAATTATTTATTTGCAAAATTGTATAACAAATTAAGAAAAACTATTTTTTTTTTTCAAAATGTTCTCTCTTTTTTTTATTTATTTATTAAAAAAATAAAAAATCACGTGGTGATGAAATACCACCAAAAACAAAAGCTCTATTTGTGTGAACAAAATGATACAAATTTAGTTTGGGTACAGTGTTGCATGACTGTACAATTGTCATTCAATGTGCGACAATGTTGAAAGCTGAAAATTGGACTGGGCAGGAAAGGGAGGGGAAAGTGCCAGGTATTGAAGTGGTTAACAAACACCAATTCTGGTCCCTGGTATGGGCAGCCTACATCAGATTTGTAATTTTATAGTTAGCCCACAGTTCTACTTTAAGAATGACAAAAAACCTGAAACCACCAACTGATTCCCATTAAAGCCCAGAAACCGTATTAAAATAAATAAATAAATAAAATACATAAATATATGACAGATTTTATTTCCAGAAGTTTTTCCGAAAAATAAGCACATTTTGCATATGTGTATGTATATGTATATGTATATGTGTGTGTGTATATATATATATATATATATATATATATATAATGTATACACATATGCAAAATGTGCTTATTTTTCGGAAAAAATTCTGGAAATAAAATCTGTCAATCACTCATCCTTAGGCTCCATGCACACAGGGCATTTTATTAACGCTGGTACCATTAGCTATGTAAAGTCACATTACAAAACGCATTGTTTTTTGCATTAGCATTTTAGCTGCGTTTTTTGCTTTACTCTTTCTAGTTTTTTTTAGCTTTTTTTTTTCACCCCCCAAAAAACTAAAAAAGTTAAAAAAAACCCGCCGGTTTGCTGAGTTTTGCCGCGTTTTTCAGCATTAGTCCTCATGCACACGGGGCATTTTGATAGCGCTGGTAACATTAGCTGTGTAAAGTCATGTTAAAAACATGAGTTTTTCATCTTTTTTTTGCGTTTTTGGATTAGTGTTTAGTGGTGTTTTCCCGCGTTTTTCACATTTGCGTTTTTAGCTTTTTAGACCAAAGAAAAAAATTTGGGGGGCTTAAAAAACATCCAAAAACACTGGTTTGCGGCGTTTTTACCACGTTTTTCAGCGTTAGAGCGTTTTTTGTCAGCAGCTAAAAGAACTCCTCTAGACACCCACTAGTTCTGGATTTTTTTTCCAGCCAAAGAACATCCCACCCAAAAAATGTTGATTGCAGTCTATGTGTGTATGGACACAGAGGAGAACATGCTGGGGGGGTTTACCGGCTGTAGAAAAAAAACTGCCAAAAGCCAAAAACATCCGCTGTACAAACGCATTGTAAAGATTTCCCTGCTCATCGGGTTGTGTTCTGCGCACACGTCACGCGTTTTCCATGTTCCATCCAGGCTGAGACAAATCCTAATTATTTTCGTAACGCCGGTGGCTGCAAAGCTATCATTTTCCTGTAGAGATGTAAGCAGCAGATTCGGCTTCCTCTCTTCCCCATCTGATAAGACATCACAATATTGTCACCTGTTTAATGATTTCATCCCCTTCAGAATATTTGATCAAGGACAAGAGAAGTGAAATAATTACCTGCCGGAAATGGAATGCGGTGACAAACGATGTAATATTCCTTCCTGAGAAAATCCCATTGTTTTCCTGCAAAATGCAACAATAAATATAGATATTCAAAACTGAGAGATGTATGATGTGTATGCACACAGAAAGAAACAATGACACCTACAGATGAATGACGGGCTATCCCAAAATGGCTGCAACCATCTCACTGCTGTATAACAACCCTTTCCCTATCAGAGCCGATTTTGCATTCTGTTTTCGCCTGAAGATTGGAAGTAGACTCCCCCTGGACCAGATATAGTGAATGCATTTTCTGGGGAGACCATATATAGTGAATGCAGGGTCCGGGGAGACCAGATATAGTGTGAATGCAGGGTCCGGGGAGACCGGATATAGTGAATGCAGGGTCCGGGGAGAGCAGATATAGTGAATGCAAGGTCCGGGGAGACCAGATATAGTGAATGCAGGGTCCAGGAGACCAGATATAGTGAATGCAGGGTCCAGGGAGACCAGATATAGTGAATGCAGGGTCCGGGGAGAGCGGATATAGTGAATGCAGGGTCCAGGGAGACCAGATATAGTGAATGCAGGGTCTGGGGAGACCGGATGTAGTGAATGCAGGGTCTGGGGGGAGACCGGATGTAGTAAATGCAGGGTCCGGGGAGAGCGGATATAGTGAATGCAGGTTCCGGGGAGACCAGATATAGTGCATGCAGGGTCCCGGGGGAGCGGATATAGTGAATGCAGATCCAGGGAGACCGGATATGGTGAATGCAGGGTCCGGGGAGACTGGATATAATGAATGCAGTTTCAGGGAGAGACCAGATATAGTGAATGCGGGGTCCGGGGAGAGCGGATATAGTGAATGCAGGGTCCGGGGAGACCGGATATAGTGAAAGCAGGGTCCGGGGAGACCAGATATAGTGAATGCAGGGTCCGGGGAGACCAGATATAGTGAATGCAGGGTTCGGGGAGACCAGATATAGTGAATGCAGGGTCCGTGGAGACCAGATATAGTGAATGCAGGGTCCGGAGAGAGCGGATATAGTGAATGCAGGGTCCAGGGAGACCAGATATAGTGAATGCAGGGTCCGGGGAGAACAGATATAGTGAATGCAGGGTCTGGGGAGACCGGATGTAGTGAATGCAGGGTCCTGGGAGACCAGATATAGTGAATGCAGGGTCCGGGGGAGAGCGGATATAGTGAATGCAGGGTCCGGGGAGAGCGTATATATAGTGAATGCAGGGTCCGGGGAGAGCGGATATAGTGAATGCAGGGTCCGGGGAGAGCGGATATAGTGAATGCAGGGTCCAGGGAGAGTGGATATAGTGAATGCAGGGTCCGAGGTGAACGGATATAATGAATGCAGATCCAGGGAGACCAGATATAGTGAATGCAGGGTCCGGGAGACTGGATATAATGAATGCAGGTCCAGGGAGACCAGATATAATGAATGCAGGTCCAGGGAGACCGGATATAGTGAATGCAGGGTCCCGGGGGAGCGGATATAGTGAATGCGGGGTCCGGAGAGACCAGATATAATGAATGCAGGTCCAGGGAGACCGGATATAGTGAATGCAGGGTCCGGGGAGACCGGATATAGTGAATGCAGGGTCTGGGGAGACCAGATATAGTGAATGCAGGGTCCGGGGAGACCGGATATAGTGGATGCAGATCCAGGGAGACCGGATATGGTGAATGCAGGGTCCGGGGAGAGCGGATATAGTGAATGCAGGGTCCGGGGAGACCAGATATAGTGAACATAGGGTCCGGGGAGAGCGGATATAGTGAATGCGGGGTCCGGGGAGACCGGATATAGTGAATGCAGGGTCCCGGGAGACCGGATATAGTGAATGCAGGGTCCAGGGAGAGCGGATATAGTGAATGCAGGGTCCGGGGAGAGCGGATATAGTGAATGCAGGGTCCGGGGAGACCGGATATAGTGAATGCAGGGTCCAGGGAGACCAGATATATAGTGAATGCAGGGTCCAGGGAGAGCGGATATAGTGAATGCAGGGTCCGGGGAGACCAGATATAGTGAATGCAGGGTCCGGGGAGACCAGATATAGTGAATGCAGGGTCCGGGGAGACCGGATATAGTGAATGCAGGGTCCGGGGAGACCGGATATAGTGAATGCAGGGTCCGGGGAGACCGGATATAGTGAATGCAGGGTCCGGGGAGACCGGATATAGTGAATGCAGGGTCCGGGGAGACCGGATATAGTGAATGCAGGGTCCGGGGTTTAGTAACACTTTAACTATTCAAAAACACTTTATTTTTTTCTTTAATTTAACTTTAATTTCAGGCACATTATTCCTAAAACTTGCATCAAATAATATTCCACCTAGACCCAGAAAAATCACTTAACAGGGAATAAAGTCAGGACTAAATCAAAGCCAAGATAGATGCCTCCCATAAATTACAAGGGTCATAGATTTGTCTGTCAGGCCGGTATCGGTCGTGGCTGAACACAATATAGCGCGGAATTGAGTTGTGACAAGTGGGCTTGATTGATTTGTAGAGCCGCGGTTTTCATTTTAGCAAAGGAAGCATATTTATTGTTCAAGGCGTCCGTGAAAATGCTGATATGACCTTTTTAGAAAGTTAGCATGAATGGAAAAAAAAAAAAAAAAAACTTCAATGTGAACCATTTCTTTTACAAAATATGGATATATCCCGCCAGTAAATATACCAGACCTTCCAATGGTCCTCTCGGAGAAGCCGCTGACGTTGCATTCTGCTTTTACTTATATTTTCATTAAGATCTATGGCCTGTTAACTTTTGCAGCCAACAATAAATTTGCCTCCTAGGAAGAATAGTATGTTCTTCATAAACAATTTTAAATAGCACATAAAAGGGTATAAAATTCGTACCGTCAGCTACATCCTATTTGGCAACCGTCTCTTTATTAATCATGGCTTAGGTTTTGTGTTGTTAAAAGTTTTCAAAAGTTTTGGTTACAAAATAATGCACTGAAGGCAAGTGTTCCCTACAAATCCCTTTCATGCGAAGGCAATGCCGGGACAAGGTCATCTGGTGCCCAGGGCGAAACATGCCAACCGGTCTACCCCCCCAAAAAAAATTCAAAAATCTCCTCCCTCCCCCTAAATAAAAATGTGAGCACTAATCTTCACACTTACCGCCTAAGCATAAATTCCCTTTGCAAACCAAAATTTTGCCCAAACAAAAATTCCCCCTCTTCCAGTACAAGTCGCTCCTCCCAGGTCAAATCCTTTCCCTCTGCAAATCTCCTCTCCTAGTACATATCCCCTACCCCTAAATTTACCCTTTGAGCATAAAATCATCTCCCCCCTCTCCCAGCACAAATCCCCTCCAAGTCCCCTCTCCCAGCACTAATCCCCTCCAAGTCCCCTCTCCCAGCACTAATCCCCTCCAAGTCCCCTCTCCCAGCACTAATCCCCTCCAAGTCCCCCTCTCCCAGCACTAATCCCCTCCAAGTCCCCTTTCCTAGCACATATTCCCCTCCATGTCCCCTTTCCTAGCACTAATCCCCTTCAAGTCCCCTCTCCCAGCACTAATCCCCTCCAAGTCCCCTCTCCTAGCACAAATCCCCTTCAAATCCCCTCTCCTAGCACTAATCCCCTCCAAGTCCCCTCTCCCAGCACAAATCCCCTCCAAGCAGGGGCAGACTGACCATTTGGGAACCCTGAGGGCCCGGGGTCAGTAGGGGGCCCCATGAGATGCCCATGGTACCTTTCATAGGCTTTTGTGGGTGTGATTTGAGTGTGGGTGAGGACACAGGGGCCCCATGATCCCCTATTGTCCGAGGGCCCCATGAGTTGATAGTCTGCCCCTGCCTCCAAGTCCCCTTTGCCAGCATTAAACCCCTTCAAATCCCCCTCTCCCAGCACAAATCCCCTCCAAATCCCCCTCTCCCATCACAAATTCCCTCCAAGTCCCCTCTCCCAGCACAAATCCCCTCCAAGTCCCCTCTCCCAGCACTAATCCCCTCCAAATCCCCCTCTCCCCAGCACAAATCCTCTCCAAGTCCCCTCTCCCAGCACAAATCCCCTCCAAGTCCCCCTCTCCTAGCACTAATCCCCTCCAAGTCCCCTCTCCCATCACTAATCCCCTCCAAGTCCCCTCTCTTAGCACTAATCCCCTCCAAGTCCCCTCTCCTAGCACTGATCCCCTCCAAGTCCCCTTTCCCAGCACTAATCCCCTCCAAGTCCCCTCTCCTAGCACTGATCCCCTCCAAGTCCCCTTTCCTAGCGCTAATCCCCTCCAAGTCCCCTCTCCTAGCACTGATCCCCTCCAAGTCCCCTTTCCTAGCACTAATCCCCTCCAAGTCCCCTCTCCCAGCACTAATCCCCTCCAAGTCCCTTCTCCCATCACTAATCCCCCCCAAGTCCCCTTTCCTAGCACTAATCCCCTCCACGTCCCCTCTCCCAGCACTAATCCCCTCCAAGTCCCCTCTCCCAGCACTAATCCTCCCCCCAAAGTTTCACCATCTAGCACAAATCCACCCAATCATTCCTAATAGCACGAATCCTCCCCCAAATCCCCTTCCTAAGAGAAATCCAACCTCCTAGTACAAATCCACCCTCCAAATCCCCACTGCTCCCAGGGCAGCTGCCCCTCTGGCTCTCCCCTGTCCCTGCCCTGTTCGAAGCTTGCAAAAAATGTTATGTTTTATTAACAATTATGTAATGTGATCAGAGATTTTTTTTCTCACAGAATAGGTGCCCCCTTCTGAATAACCCCTTGTTTACACCCCCTTACTCACTTTCGAGCACCGTCCCTTGATTTCACCCCTTACCCACCGCCCAGTACCACTCCTTTTAGAGAATACAGAGTCCAGGATTATTTTGTTCATGATAACAAGAAAAGCAGTAAAATAGATCCCTTGCAGCCAGCAACAATAGCCTCGCCAGCAACAAAAGCCCCCATCAGCAACAATAGATCCCCCCAGCAACACCGGACCCCCACAACAAATACTTACCACAGCAACAATAGACTCCCAGCAGCAACAACAGATCTGTCACGTACCTGATGAGGTCAGCCTCTCTTGTATCTCCAACCCAGGCCCCACTGAAGGTGGAACAGATGGTGCTGAGGGTCAGCAGAAACACGAGTGCCTGCAGATGTTGATGGCAGAACTTGCGGCTGGAGGTGTAACCTCGGTAAATCAAGCAGGACATCCGGTCAGAAACAGAGGAGATGCCGGAATGCCCAGCTGAGGTTAAGGAAGCACTCCACTGGAACTGTAAGATCTGGGTGCGTGGCTTGCCAGAACTTCCAACAAGCGTGAGGCTGGAACACACCGTGACAACCAGAGCTGATATTATAGATAGCCAGGACAAGCACTTGGCAGGACTGTAGAGCCAAACTGGAGCTGGAAGCGTAGCCAGAGTAATAGCCAGGGTCAGCAACAAGCAGGCGATGAGATACCGGAACATCAGCCAGGGACGACGTCAGAAGGAAGCCAGGATCAGAAAACGATGAGCAGAAGCATAAACAGAATCCAAGAGCAGGTCAATGGCAAGCCGGGTCAGTAACGGATAACACACAGGATACAGCAGGACTTAGTTGAAGACCAGTCAGCACTGGCAGAGCGTAAGAGTCTTCTTTAAATAGTCCGTTTGGTGCCAGAAAACTGTGGGCACGCTCCCGCATCCATGCACCTGTGTACTCGCATTATTTTGCACATGCGCGAGCCTATGTTCATCTTTATTAGCAATGCGACTGTGCTCATTTCTATGCGCGATGTTGCTCGCATGCATATTTCTATGTGCCAGTCACCATACAGGAATTCCCTTTCAAGATCTCTCATCAGCAAGTAACAATAGACCCCTCCCTCAACAGTAGATCCCTTCCAGCAACAACTGATCTCCCAGCAACAATAGATCCCTCTCCAGCAATATTAGACCTCTACAGCAACAATAGACCACCATGCAAAAATAGAATCCCCAGCAGCCAGCATCAATAGACCCTCCAGCCTCCCTTGCCATTACATAATGTACATTCAATGCTGGAGGTGCTGGAACTGCATTCCCCCACATTCCCGCTGAAAAAAAAGCCCTTATTGTGATGCCAAAAGCTAAGAATATCACAGAATGCAGTCTAAATTGTCATTTTAAGGAGCCTTCTAGCTGCCCTTGAGTCTGCAGGCTGCAAGAAAACCCCAAAAAACTAATCATACCTTTATAGAAGAGATCAGAGTGTTCTCTCCGACTATGGTCTGCAACCTTCCACCTTCAGTCAAATTCTGCTCTACTGCTGAAAAGATGCTCTGAGATATCACTAGAGGATGCTTTGGAGAGACAAGTTAATTTTGGGCTCATTCATAGTAGTCTGGTGTGTCCATACAACCAAAAGAACATTTGTGAGGGCAGGTACCGATGTTGGGTGAGAAAACCTGGCTGTTATTCTGCATTCCATTCATCCCAAAGGTGTTCAGTAGGGTTGAGGTCAGGGCTCTGTGAAAGACACTTGAGTTCCTCTGCACCAGACTCATTAGACCATATCTTTGTGAGGTTGGCTTTGTGCTCTGGGGTACAATCATGCTGGAACAGAAAAGGACCTTCTCCAAACTGTTACCACAAGGATGGGAATGCACAAATATCTTTGTATGATGTAGTAATAACAATACTCTTCATTGGAAACACCTAAACTCAATCATTTGGAGGGTGTCCACATATTTTCACACATTAAGTCTATACGATACAAAGAAGGACCTTCCTTGAGATGATGAGGGTAGCCTCTTGCATAGTTCTCATCTGAGCACTCCTGAAAGTTAAGACAGGGTCTGCAGGGGCAATGGAAAGGGGCAAGTGCCACAGTGCAGACACTGAAGACTGGACCATTGGAGCGCTGGTACCAGATGAGCAGGGGTACAGGTGGTTCGGAGCTGGCTGTGCGTGTGTTGGATAGAGAGGCGGAGGACTTTTCTGGCGACTGTACCCATGTATCCAGCACAGGCTGGTCACCAGCTCTGAGGAAAGGGACTCGTCCCCGAAACGAGTCAGCCATTTGACCACACTGACAGTTGGAACACCTTGCTTGCCGTTGTGGCCATCTTCTTAATGCAAAAACTTTTTATACATGCTTCGTCTGTGAGTATGTTTTTGTCTTTTATACCTTTGAATAGACCTTGGATAATGCACTAGGTGTGCGCCACCTGTTTATTCTCTATCTAGTGGCTGATCTCCCCGTCTGAG